TACACCTGGAATCATCTACCTACCTACCTACCTTTTTACCTAATCTCTCTCCCTCTACCTACCTACCTACCTACTGTATTTCTCCCTCACTCCCTCTCTATCCCTCTATTTACCTACCTACCTACCCCCCACTCTTCCTACCTACCTACTGTATTTCTCCCTCTCTATCTCTCTATCTACCTACCTACCTACTCTCTCTCTCCCTCCCTATCTACTGTATCTCTCTCTCTCTATTTCTCTCTCTCTATCCCTCTACCTACCTACCTACCTACACTCTCTCTCTCTCTCCCTACCTATCTACCTACTGTATTTATCTATCTATCTCTATTTCTCTCTCTCTATCCCTTTATCTACCCACCTACTTTTCTTTTAATTTGCCTTTTCAAAACTTTGGTGCATCTTAAACTCCCGTGTGTCTTATACTCCGAAAAATACTTATAACTATCACATGATCCCCATGATCAAAATTCAGATGCTTCACAATCAGCATGCATATTAGAGTGTCAGGATCATGTGATCACTATTTGGGACTGTGCCAGCTGGCTTCCTAGAAGCCAAAGCACTGGAGAAGCTGGTTTCACTTAATGATTGCCATGATTCGCTTACCAGCCACGGCAAAAAGAGTTTTAAAATCAGACATGACTCATTTAACAACTGCCTTGATTCTGGTCCCAATTATACGTTGAGGACTACCTGTATGCCACCCATCCGTAACCTATACAGTCCATCCAAGTTGTCTCACCTGTACAATGGTTTCTTTTCCCACGTCCCATCAGCGCCTGTGGCTTCAGATGCTTAAGTTCAGGTGTTTCTTCTATCCAATTCTTCAATGCCTGTAAAATTCATTTGTGATAACAGGGATCTAAGTTTCAATTGGCACATGTGACTGGCATGATTGTGCATAGCCCTTTTTTGTACATAATCACAGAATCTTTGGAAAGGGCTTTACAGTATTAAATCATCATCATCATCACATTCCTTAACATTGGAAATTCCACTCCCAATTTCCATTCTAACCTAATTTCTTTTTCATCACCAACACCATAACAGCAAAAACAAGAGGATGGGGATGTCAAAATTGACCCTACCCATTCTTATCATGCTACCAAGTGAGCAGAAGACTTTCAGCAGCTTACCAGAAAGTTAGAAGAGTGCATTGTGGTCCCATTCCATAGGAAATTCACCACCCACCTCAAAACACAGGTAAACTGATCTTAAATGCTAAGTCACATATAGCAGAAAACAGGATGGGAAAAAAATCCTGCTTCCTCCATGTTGGAAGAGTTTCTTACTGCCAGCAGTGCTCTTGTCTTCACGAAGAGAATAGTGCGCGTCTCAGGGTCGACATGATATGCCTCTCCCAAAATCTCTGCAATATCTTCCAATTTTGGGTTTTCATTTGATTTATCCTCAGAAGCAGCAGTGAGTTCTTGCAAATTATCTGGGAGACAAAAATGCAATTATCTAAGGATGGATAAGGAAAGGGACACCTTCCCTACAAAACTATAATCTAATACCATACAGATAAATAGTTACATTTTATTGTCCTTGTTTGTATAGGTAGTTACAGTAGCTGCATTTCTAAAGGATTCAAAAATCATTTACAATAATTTTGCATTTCACCTTTCATCCAGGGCAGTATGGATCAGGTTTTTTAAAAAAATTCTTGGAACTGGTTTATGATAAAGTTTGATCAGTTCCATTCCCCCCCCCCCTTGCTCCCTCTCTCCCTTCGCTCCCTCCCTTTCTTCGGGAATGAACTTCTGGTTGGCCCACTGTGGCTGTTTTGCGCCCTCCCCAGCCTCCAGAGGTTTTCCTGAAGCATGGGGAGAGTGAAAACTGCCTCCCCCAGGCCTCCGGAAGGATGAAAAAATCAGCTGCCACGTGCCGAAACAAATATGGCTCCACGTACCACTTGTGGCACACATGCCATAGGTTCGCCATCACAGTTATATACTCTTCTATTCCAAATATTTTTCTAATCATTACCATTTATTTCTCCTAACACCAAGTAAATTAAATCAAATAATGGTAAATATACAAATGTTTGTTGGAGGTGCAAGAAAGAGGTTGGAACATATAAACATATGTGGTGGGTTTGTGATAGTGCATAAAAAATACGGGACATGGTGTTTAGAGAAATCAGAGCACTGTTGAATGTAAATCTAAAGATTCGCCGAGGATTGCATTATTGTTGCTGGTAGAAAAACAGGATATAAATGAAACAAAAAAGGAATTGATTGTAAATTTGATGACAGCTAGATTAGTGATGGCTAAATATTGGTGACGAAATTGGGATACTCAAAGAAATGAGTGGTATAATGAAATTTAGAGTATGGCAACAAATGATAAATTAACAACAGAAATTTAAAAAGGGATGATTAAAGTATATAATTACAATGAAAAATGGGGGGATTTTATAAAATCAATGTTGGTGGAAGGCAAAGAGAATAAACCTACTCAAGAATATATGTTGCTTTGGAGGGTAAAAGGGCACAATTGGAATATATTGTATATCTAAGAAAGGTCACCAGGGTTGTGAAGTGCACTGGAATATTTATTTTCTCCCTTTTTCTTTTGTCTTTCTTTTTTTTTTGTAACCACTTGTATATGTACTGTTTGTATTATTTGTGTTTTAAAAAAATTAAAAAATATATTTTAAAAACCCCTTCTTGCACATGAAATAAAAATATACCTAAGTTCTCTTTATGGATCCATCAAATACTACTACAAGATGTAAATCTCTGGTTTGCTATTTTCTTTACTTAAGAGTCCCTGTTAGGGAGATGGATAGTTAAAAAGGGGACAGCAATGACGGACGGACGGACGGACAGACAGACAGGGAGATGATAGAGAGTAGATAGAGGATGGATGGATGGATGGATGGATGGATGNGTCCCTGTTAGGGAGATGGATAGTTAAAAAGGGGACAGCAATGACGGACGGACGGACGGACAGACAGACAGGGAGATGATAGAGAGTAGATAGAGGATGGATGGATGGATGGATGGATGGATGGATGATAGATAGATAGATAGATAGATAGATAGATAGATAGATAGATAGATAGATAGATAGATAGATAGATAGATAGATAGATAATGATAAATATTGTTTGAGGATTGAAGTATTACTGGAAGACAGGACAGTTATATTCTTTATTGCTTCTAAAATATTTTGAAAGTCAAAATATGTTGGAATAGACAGATGTTTGACCTAACAAAGCAACATGAATGTAGGGCTTTTAAAAAATATATATAAAGCACCTTCAAAATTGGAAACCAATTGACGTTCAATATCATCAAAGTTGGCATTTTTGATATCCTGAAAATAATCCTTCAGAAAATCCAAAGCATCTTTGGTTCGGGCATCTTCATTGATGATTAAGGCATCATTGTATTTCTGTGATAAAGAAATATTATTTACATTATTTTAATATCATAAAAAGGTCATCCTAAAAGCATGGCAGCAAACAACACTCAGGAGAGGAAGGAGAGGGGAAGCCCTTAAAATGAGGTCTTCATTTAATGAGAGCCATAGGGACTGCTGGAAATAGCTAAGCACAATCCTGTGACATCACCCTTTAAGACCTGGTCCCAATTGCCATTGTAACCCAAGGACTACCTGTTGCGATGTGACCTATTTCACACTTGAATCATTCTGAATTCAAACGACTTCCTTCAATCATCTTTCACATTTGTGACATATTCTGGAAGATCAAAGCAGCCTCATTCAAACCTAAAGCAACTGATTTGAAGTCCAAATGCAGCATTTCAAAGGAGAGATCCTTCACTAGATTGGAATTGCCCATTTTCAGCAAAGGTTTTTTTTTTGTAATGCATTTTAAGGTGCAACTGAAAAAACTAAAGGTAATCTTTGACTTATAACAGTTCACTTATATGTCACAATTTTTCCCCAGTTGATAAGATTTGGATATACCACCACTTCTAGGGTGGAGAGCCAGATCGGTATTTCCTTGTAGTTCTGTTTTTTAAATTTAGTTCCATATCCCCAATAGAGCCTGTCATATATATTGTCTTTGGAAGTATTGATGTACCTTATGTCTTTCATACCAGAGGAATGCATGCCTCTGTTCGCTTGACCGTGACAGTTCAAAGTTACAACGGCACTGAAAAAAGCGACTTATGACCATTGCAGCATCCCCATGGTCATGTGATTTACATTCAAATGCTTGACAACTGACTCACATTTTGCCATCTTCTAAACAAGCAAAGTCCATGGGGAAGCACAATTGATTTAACAACTGCAGTCATTCCCTTAGCAAATGTGGCAAGAAAAGTCATAAAATGGGGCAAAATTCACTTAACAAATTTCTCACTTAGTGACATTAATTTTGGGCTCAATTGTGGTCGTAAACTGAGGACTACCCATACCTGACAGTAAGTAAAACAACCCAGAATGTAACGCTGTCAGAGTTTGCTGTAGAAATCACATCCAATAAGCACACACAGATAACTGATTCAGCAGGATTCATTAACTTTAGATACATAATAACACATGAATAAATGCACAATACCAACGGCAGATTCTTCCAATGCGATAGAAAGGAGAGAGAGATTTCAGTTTCATTTCAGCAGAGCAGACTAATTTAGTTCCTGTTTCCTTTTACACAGCACTCAGAGCTACAGGGCTAAACCACGCCCAGGCTCCAATCTGTTTCAGCTCCCATTGGCTGACCTTGTTACTAAGTCCTATTCATTGGCTGACCTGGTTACCATGTCTCTGCCAGTCATGAATTCTCTGACAAATGCAATCATTTTGAACAGGATGAATTACATGTACTAGTGCTTGATGCAGTCATCTGACACTCGTAACAAACCAACGTACTGTTAAATTTAAATTTACCGACAAAGAAATAAAGGGAGGCTAGTATAGCTATTTCATGCTGTTTCGCTCTCATCAACTCGGGTCGCTTGCATATTAGGCAGATGTATTAACCTCGAGGCCATGGACTCTCCTCACTTTGTAAGCTGTACTACGGGATAAATTAAGTGTTTTTCCAGTGAGTACAGCCTGGTACAGCCAACAAAATGAGGAGAGCCTGTGGCCTAGAGGTTAATACATTTGCCCAATATGTATGTGGCCTGGGTTCGAATCCCAGAAGGGTATGGCTAGCTGAGAACTATACTCGTAAATTTAAATTTAACACAAAATACTTTGTCACGGAAGCCTGCAAAGGCTCCTGGATTGGGGCAGATAGGCGAAAGCCAAAGCAGTATGCTCCATTCCATATTTGGGTAGACCAGGTTGCCCTGATAGACCGTTCTCACCGGAAAAAAACACTTAAAACCAAATTACTCTTAATACACTGTTGACTAAAATAATGCCAAACATTAGGAAACAGGACAGGAGAAACACAACTCAATGGCAATAGAGCAGGGGTCTCAAACTTGCAGCGTCATGTTGTCGTCACATATCGTGACTTTTTCCCTCTTCGCTAAACCAGGGGTGGCTGTGGCCAGCATGTGACACATCCGGCCCATGAGTTTGACACCCCTGTAATAGAGCAACAAGACAAGAGAAATGGTTGCTTCCCAAGGAGGAGGAGGTTACCTACTCGGAGGTGCTGTGTGCAAATACAAACAGCTCTGCAGACTCGGCTCTCGTCTTCCTTATTTGGAAAGTGTAACACCACAGCTTTCTGCTGCACGTCGGTGATCCACTGCTCGTATTTCTGGGTCCCATAACATTGGTTCTTCATCACAGACAAGTTATCTAATGGAGAAGGGAAGATTTTTGTTTAAAAACGTACTGAAGGCCTACAATGAAGAGCAGAGAGATCTCTTTATTCACATTCTGATTCAAGGCGTATTGTAATCTACAGTATTACATATTGTATTGTTCTAAGCCAGGCTAGAACATATGATCTCTATCATTGCATAGTGGTCTTTGATAAGATGGTGAAGACACCAATGTTAATGGCACTCTGGTGTGGTTGTCTGTGATTTATGAGGGTTTTTTATTGGGGACCTTGATTTTTGTTTTGTTTTTTTGTTTTTTTCCTTGAAACTGATCATGGTTCTTTTATCCTCCTTTGTCACGCATGCACATTTCTTACAGAAATGAAATGCTGTATACATTAGATTGCACATAAGAGCATTGTGTGGTATGGAGTTCTTCTACCATCATGTCATTTTGAGCTTCGTGCATTTATAATGTACCTTGCACTCTGTCTTCTTTCATATGGTTGTATAGTATTTTGTGGTTTGTAATATACATACATACATACACACATACACACACACACAGAGATGCGCACACACACATACACATATTACTCTGCATTGTTATCTGATACTATGAATTGCATGGTGCTTGCTTTGCCCTACCACATATTCCCTTCCATTATTAGTCACTTATTTCTACTCCATTGTGTTACATTCCGTTGTGTACTGTCTACCATTTTACACTGTCTGAGAAAATCTTGTCTGCTGCTCACTGGAGAACAGCATCTGCCAGAGATACAGATGGCCCCAACAAAAGCCTGGTTGTTTTCTTGGGCTTTTGGATCAGGTTAGGTGAGAACTGCTGTAATCAATGTGGCTTTTTGGTGAATGGGATTATTGACCCTTGGGCAGCAGGAGTTGTACTTGTGTGTTTTTAATGCTTGTATACTTCCCAGAATTACCTGTGTCACAGGAGTGGGCCACATAAATAAGTAAAATAAATACTGCACTGTCCACAGTGTATGATAGTCTAAATTGGATGGAAACATAAACATGATAGATTAAGCTAGAGAGATAATAGACAGAGAAATAATAGATGATGGGTGGGTGGATGGATAAATAATGATAGAGAGATAAGAGATAGATTGTGAGAGATAAAAAGAGGGGGGAGAAGGAGAGAGAGAGAGAATATGTTTTGAGTTCTCTTTAGGATTACAGTGCAATATGTGACATTATGTCTTGTGTTAGGTAAGTTTGTATTGCTTAGTATTGTGTTTTAGGTACTATATACTGAGCAGTAATGTGAATTGTACAGCATAATAATAGCACTTAAACTTATATACCACTTCATTGTGCTTCACAGCCCTCTCTAAGTGTTTACAGAGTCAGCATATTGCCCCCAGAAATCTGGGTCCTCATTCTACTGACCTTGGAAGAATGGAAGGCTGAGTTAACCTTGAGCAGGTTAGAATCAAACTGCTGGCAGTTGGCAGACTGCAATACTGCATTTTAACCAATGCACCACCATGGCTCTTAATGTGAATTGTATAACACAGTGTACTTTAATCTGCAGTTTATACTATTTTGAAATGAAAATTCAGCTGTATTATGCATTGTGGAATATAATATGTATACAAAGTCTATTTTATTTCAGAGCTATATAGTACAGTGAACTGAATTATAATTTTTGGGATGAATGGTGTTAACTGTACTATGTAATGATTAATGTATCTATGTTATGCATGTCTGTGTGTCTATATGTACATGTATATATTACATCTTATTTAAAAAAATAATGCTCTTAGAAAGAGACGGCTTTTGATCAGTTCACAGGAAAAAATGATGATTTTACAAAACTATGTTACATCAATGGAGCATATAACTAACATCACCAAGCAATCTCAACAGTCTTACCAATAGGATGAAATTGTCTTGCTAGAGCCTCTGCTTTCAACATCATCTGAGATACAATATCTACAAAGCGATTTTGTGGACGAGTCCCAACAAGTCTAATAACTGCAGTAAAAAGAAAAAAGAAACTGCCGTTCTTAGTGTGTTATTAGCCACACATTTAATTATTCTAAAATTATTACAGGTCTTTTGTTTAAGAAAAGATTAAAGATTTCTTAGAATGCGGGGAACTAATTTATTATACTATCTTTTTAAATACTTTTGTCCTTCGAATCCCAATATACAAGTATATTGCAGCAGTTGTTACCTGACACAACAACATGAGTGAGTAAAGTGGCTCAAAATGTTTGTTTTTCAAAAGGCAGATGCTCCAGAGGTGTAGCTAGCCATGTTCTGCTGAACAAACAAAACTGAATGAAACTTGGAGCACTTTAAATAACTTGTTCTTGCATACGTCTGCATAAAGTAGAGCCCACTTCATCAGATGCATGAAAGAGGTACTTCTCAACTTGCAACAGTTCATTTAGTGACTGTTTAAAAGTGCAACAGCACTGAAAAAAGTGACAGGATCATTTTTCACACTTATGACCGTTGCAGCACTCCCACGGTCGTATGATCAAAGTTCAGATGCTTGGCAGCTGACTCATATTTCAGACAGTTGCAGTGTGATCACCCTTTTTGTGACCTTCTGACAAGCAAAGTTAATGGANACCTGTGTCACAGGAGTGGGCCACATAAATAAGTAAAATAAATACTGCACTGTCCACAGTGTATGATAGTCTAAATTGGATGGAAACATAAACATGATAGATTAAGCTAGAGAGATAATAGACAGAGAAATAATAGATGATGGGTGGGTGGATGGATAAATAATGATAGAGAGATAAGAGATAGATGTGTGAGAGATAAAAAGAGGGGGGAGAAGGAGAGAGAGAGAGAATATGTTTTGAGTTCTCTTTAGGATTACAGTGCAATATGTGACATTATGTCTTGTGTTAGGTAAGTTTGTATTGCTTAGTATTGTGTTTTAGGTACTATATACTGAGCAGTAATGTGAATTGTACAGCATAATAATAGCACTTAAACTTATATACCACTTCATTGTGCTTCACAGCCCTCTCTAAGTGTTTACAGAGTCAGCATATTGCCCCCAGAAATCTGGGTCCTCATTCTACTGACCTTGGAAGAATGGAAGGCTGAGTTAACCTTGAGCAGGTTAGAATCAAACTGCTGGCAGTTGGCAGACTGCAATACTGCATTTTAACCAATGCACCACCATGGCTCTTAATGTGAATTGTATAACACAGTGTACTTTAATCTGCAGTTTATACTATTTTGAAATGAAAATTCAGCTGTATTATGCATTGTGGAATATAATATGTATACAAAGTCTATTTTATTTCAGAGCTATATAGTACAGTGAACTGAATTATAATTTTTGGGATGAATGGTGTTAACTGTACTATGTAATGATTAATGTATCTATGTTATGCATGTCTGTGTGTCTATATGTACATGTATATATTACATCTTATTTAAAAAAATAATGCTCTTAGAAAGAGACGGCTTTTGATCAGTTCACAGGAAAAAATGATGATTTTACAAAACTATGTTACATCAATGGAGCATATAACTAACATCACCAAGCAATCTCAACAGTCTTACCAATAGGATGAAATTGTCTTGCTAGAGCCTCTGCTTTCAACATCATCTGAGATACAATATCTACAAAGCGATTTTGTGGACGAGTCCCAACAAGTCTAATAACTGCAGTAAAAAGAAAAAAGAAACTGCCGTTCTTAGTGTGTTATTAGCCACACATTTAATTATTCTAAAATTATTACAGGTCTTTTGTTTAAGAAAAGATTAAAGATTTCTTAGAATGCGGGGAACTAATTTATTATACTATCTTTTTAAATACTTTTGTCCTTCGAATCCCAATATACAAGTATATTGCAGCAGTTGTTACCTGACACAACAACATGAGTGAGTAAAGTGGCTCAAAATGTTTGTTTTTCAAAAGGCAGATGCTCCAGAGGTGTAGCTAGCCATGTTCTGCTGAACAAACAAAACTGAATGAAACTTGGAGCACTTTAAATAACTTGTTCTTGCATACGTCTGCATAAAGTAGAGCCCACTTCATCAGATGCATGAAAGAGGTACTTCTCAACTTGCAACAGTTCATTTAGTGACTGTTTAAAAGTGCAACAGCACTGAAAAAAGTGACAGGATCATTTTTCACACTTATGACCGTTGCAGCACTCCCACGGTCGTATGATCAAAGTTCAGATGCTTGGCAGCTGACTCATATTTCAGACAGTTGCAGTGTGATCACCCTTTTTGTGACCTTCTGACAAGCAAAGTTAATGGAGAAACCAGATTCACTTAACAACTGTGTTGCTCATTTAACAACTGTAGGGGTTCACTTAATGACTGGGCCAAGAAAGGTTGTTACATAGGGCAAAACTCACTTAACAAATGTCTCAGCAACAGACATGTTGGGCTCAATGGTGGTCATAAGCGAAGGGCTATCTGTATTACGTTGAGAGGCAGCTTAAAATATTAGGATTGTATAATGCTTTAAGTTTGGGTTCAGGGAGGATCTGCTGATGGTACACCAAGAGCTTCATTCATTTCCAACTCCCATTACAGAATCCTCATTCCTAACCTACCAACCCTTCAAGAATTGTACTTCATTTATGCTTCCGCCCATTCTCAAGAACTTTTTCCAAACCAAAGCAAAATATTGTAAAGTTTATATCCATGTATTGACTACAACAATAAAAGGAGGTCTCAAAGGTGCTTTTTCAAAAGGTACAAAGCCCAGTTGCCTTTTGGGAAAGCACCTTTGGAACAACCAGGACTTGGATGATTGAGAATCTCTCCATAGACAAATAAAGGGAAATGTCGAAGTAGTTTGGGATATTATTGAGGAAGAATCTAATTTAATCTCTACCACAAGGGAAAGGAACAATACAGAGTTGTCATTGTGGAATCTCTGGAAAAGTCATCTGGGTCCATCAGCCCCAGGTCCCATTGGAGAAATCCTTTCAAGCCTAGAGTTAGGCAAAGTACAAATAGTCCTCAACCTAAGAACACAATTGAGCCCCACATTTATGTTGCTAAGTGAGAAATTTGTTAAGTGAGTTTTGCCTCATTTTACATTTGTCACATTTGTTAAGTGAATCCCTGCAGTTGTTAAATTAGTAACAGGGTTGCTAAGTGAATCTGCTGTCTCCATTGACTTTGGTTTGGTTTGGTTTGCTTTATAGGATTTATATGCCGTCCTTCTCCCAAGGACTCAGGGCAGCATACAACATTAAAAAAAACACATATTACAAAAGTTTTTAAAAAATTAGATGGAGTATCTAAAAAACAAACCCAATTAAGATTCACAATAACATTTAAAAAATTCTTTTAAAATTAACACTAATCAATCATTTACTTTATTTTGTTCAGGCCAGGCCAGCTTGCTAGAAAAGCCAACTTTTTAGGGCGCGTCAGAAGGACCGGAGGTCGGACATTATATGAAGCTCCGGGGGCAGCTCATTCCAGAGAGAAGGCGCTCCCACAGAGAAGGCTCTCCCCTTGGGGGTCGCTCGCCGACACTGTCTGGCCGAG